GTAGCCAACATCAAACTAAATGGATTGAAACTTGAAGCAATCCCATTAAAATCAGGGACTAGACAAGGCTGCCCACTCTTTCCCTACCTATTCAATATAATACTGGAAGTCCTAGCCAGAGCAATTAGACAACAAAACGAGGTCAAAGGGATACAAATTAGAAAGGAAGAAGTCAAAATTTCACTATTTGCAGATGATATGATAGTTTACTTAAGTGACCCCAAAACTTCCACCAGAAAACTCCTAAACCTGATAAATAACTTTAGCAAAGTGACTGGATATAAAATTTACTCTAACAAATCAGTAGCCTTCCTCTATTCAAAAGATAAACAGGCTAAGAAAGAAATTAGGGAAGTGACACCCTCTACAATAGTCACAAATAATATAAAATACCTTGGTGTAAATCTAACCAAGTAAGTAAAAGACCTGTATGACAAGAACTTCAAGCCCCTGAAGAAAAAAAAATCAAAGCAGATCTCAGAAGATGGAAAGATCTCCCATGCTCATGGATTGGAAGGATTAATATAGTAAAAAATGGCTATCTTCCAGAGAGCAATCTACAGATTTAATGAAATCCCCATCAAAATTCCCACTCATTTCTTCACAGAGATAGAAAGAGCAATTCTCAAATTCATTTGGAATAACAAAAAAACCCAGGATAGGAAAAACTATTTTCAACCATAAAAGAACTTATGGGGGAATTATCATCCCTGACTTCAAGATGTACTACAGAGCAATAGTGATAAAAACTGCATGGTATTGGTACAGAGACAGGCAGAAAGATCAATGAAATAGAATTGAAGACCTAGAAATGAACCCCAATACATATGGTCACTTGATCTTTGACAAAGGAGTTAAAATTGTCTAGTGGAAAAAGGACAGCATTTTCAACAAATGGTGCTGGTTCAACTGGAGGCCACATGTAGAAGAATGCAAATTGATCCATACTTATCTCCTTGTACAAAGCTCAAGTCCAAGTGGATAAAGGACCTCCACATAAAACCAGATACACTGAAACTAATAGAAGAGAAAGTGAGGAAAAGCTTTAAACACATGGGCACAGGGGAAAAGTTCCTGAACAGAACACCAATGGCTTATGCTGTAAGATCAAGAATTGACAAATGGGACCTCATAAAACTGCAAAGCTTCTGTAAAGCAAAGGACACTGTCAATAGGACAAAGTGGCAACCAACAGATTGGGAAAAGATCTTTACCAATCCTACATCTGATAGAGGGCTAATATCCCAGGTATACAAAGAACTGAAGAAATTAGACTCCAGACAATCAAATAACTTGATTAAAAAATGGGGTACAGAGCTAAACAAAGAAATCTCAACTGAGGAAACTAGAGTGGCTGAGAAGCACCTAAAGAAGTGTTCAACATCCTTAGTCATCTGGGAAATGCAAATCAAAACAATCCTGAGATTCCACCTCACAGCAGTCAGAATAGCAGATCAAAAACTCAGGTGACAGCAGATGCTGGTGAGGATATGGAGAAAGAAGAACACTCCTCCATTGTTGGTGAGAATGTAAACTGGTACAACCACTATGGAAATTAGTCTGACAGTTCCTCAGAAAATTAAACATAGTATTACCTTAGGACCTAACTATACCACTCCTGGGCGTATACCCAAAAGATGCTCCAACATACAACAGGGACACATGCTCCACTATTTTCGTAGCAGCCTTATTTATAATAGCCAGAAACTGGAAAGAACCCAGATGTCCTTCAACAGAGGAACAGATACAGAAAATGTGGTACATTTACACAATGGAGTACTACCCAGCTATTAAAAACAATGAGTTCAAGAAATTCTTAGGCCGGGCGGTGGTGGCGCACGCCTTTAATCCCAGCACTCGGGAGGCAGAGGCAGGCGGATTTCTGAGTTCGAGGCCAGCCTGGTCTACAGAGTGAGTTCCAGGACAGCCCGGGCTATACAGAGAAACCCTGTCTCGAAAAACCAAAAAAAAAAAAAAAAAAAAAGAAATTCTTAGGCAAATGGATGAAACTGGAAAATATCATCCTGAGGGAGGTAACCCAATCACAAAAGAACACACATGGTATGCACTCACTGATAAGTGGATATTAGCCCAAAAGCTCACAATACCTAAGATACAACGCATAGACAACATGAAGCTCAAAATGAAGAAGGAAGACCAAAGAGTGGGTGCTTTGGTCCTTCTTAAAAGGAGTATCAAAATATTCAACCAGAGCTCCCAGGGTCTAAACCTCCAGCCTGGGAACACAAAGAGAGGGACTCATGGCTCCACCTCTATGGGTAGTTGAGAATGGCAATGGCCTTGTCAGGCTTCAGTGGAAGAGGAGCGCCTTGGTCCCTGAAAGGTTGGATGCCCTAGTGTTGGGGAATTTGAGAGCAGGGAGGTGGGAATGGGTACATGGGTGGGGGCATACCCTCATAGAAGTAGGAGGAGGGGCGGTGGGATAAGGGATATCGGGGGAAATGCGAGAGGGGGTAACATTGAAAAATAAATAAATAAAATATCCAATAAAAAAACAGATAATGGATCTAGCAATTGTAATCGAGCAGTTGAGACTTTTTGTCAACAATTTATTATGGGGATTCTGTATAATCTTCAAGAACAAGGTATTCTGGAAGTGGCCCATGGAACTTTTAAAAGTTTGGTGAGACATGCTGTTGCTGAGACAAAGAATGATGCCGACCTGTGAGCTTGCTGAGTGCCCTGACAAGGGTGACTGAGGAGCTGTATTAGACATATGTTCCTCACCCATCTTTGCTTGCCTATATCCCAGATTGGACAAGCTGACTTACCTCAAGTTTTTAGACCTTATGGAATAGAGAATCAAAAAGAGAAATTATAATGTCTCTTGTATTTTTCTTAAAGATGACCAGCTTTTAGGACTCAATCATGTACTGGTTTAGAAATCAATCCAATATTGGAAATAACAGTCTACATTTGGAAGGCTGGATCTGGACATTTCCAGAGACATATTTGGAAGTTAGCTGTAGTTCATTATGATGTTAGGATAGCAAGAGATAAAGTTGGGACACAATCTGGATTTCAAACAAGGGTTAGTGCATGTTTTAAAGCTCTTTTAATTGTCAAGCTAAAATTGGTTTTTTCTCTTCTACAGTATTTATTGTAAGTTGCATTGACTATATAATTTCCAATTGTGTTAGTGTGTTGAAACCTGGTGTGTCTCTTATAGGGGTCTATCAGTCAGCTTTTGTCGTACTGCTCTGAGTATTAGAAAACCCTGATTCTCTGAAAAAAAAAGCTTTAAAGTGCTGGAAGAAGTGAGTTAGGCTTTAAGCAGAAGCAAAAGGGTAGCAGGCTTGATTATTGCTGGTATAACAGCTTTAATTACATTAATTGCTAGCACCACTGCTTCTGTAATAGCATTGACACAAGCAGTTAAGACAATTATTTTTGTTAACCATCTAGCAAAAAAATATTACTAATGTATTGAGTAGGCAAAGGGATTTATATAGGTATCTAGAACAACGAATTGATGCTCTATAACCTATTCAAATTATGCGAAGGAGGTTCAGGATTCAAGAGTTAGGAGCCATCCCAAGTGTCAGGACAAATATCATTGGAGTAGTGTTACTTCTAACATTTACAATGTTTGTCATTATAATTTTTTTAAAAAGTTTAAAGACACCCATAGGCTATTTGGCATAATCCTAACACCTCTCTGGGTGTGTTAACTTTGCATAGTGAGATTATGAATTTAAAGAACGCTGCTCTGTTAAGCTTTGATGCTGCAGATACTGCTGATAAAATTATCCATGGCCTGAGGTCAGTATTTCCATTTTGTTCAAACTTCAGGAATGGCATATATAGCTTGATCATGCTAGCCCTTCTTGTCCTGGGAATACTTTTATTCCTGACCATCGTGTTAAAGCTTGTCTCTAACTATATCAACAGGCTAGCAGCCAAAGTACATTACTTGAAACTGAAAATGGACCCCCAGACAGAGTTATTAATTTAACAGGCTGGTAAGCCAAGGACGGGTAAGATTCTGCACAGAGCCTTACTAACCTAAGACATAAGTGCATTGCTTATGATAATGCATATTTCATGATGGATGAGGAAGGCTTTCTTGTCAGAATGACCTAAGACAGGTTCAGTCTGGTTTATGCAATAAAAAGGGGGAGATGTGGAGAGCTTTTGGGGCTGCCTAGCAGGAATCTGTCATTGGCCAAGGACAAGGAAATGGGCTGCTTGGAAGGAATCTGACATAGACCAAGGACAAGGAAATGGACTGCAGGCAGGAATCTGACATTGGGCTGGAACAAAGAAGTAATTTCAGGCAGAAATCTAAATCCTAGGCTAGAACAAAGAAGAAATTTCAGGCAGGAATCTAAATCTTAGGCTAGAACAAAGAAGTAGGCTTCAGGCATGAAAATGACTTTGAGCTAGGACAGTGAAGTAGGCTCAGATATTTTGATCATCCTGATAAGCCCTTAGAAGTAGTGATCACAGGAGTGATCACAGGACTCTGTTTATTGTCCTGTATGTTCTTTGATTATCTGGGTTTATTGTCTTCCTTGTTCCTGGACTATTTGCATCTATCATATTGCTAGTTCCTCAACCTAGAACTGACCTTAATACTTGCATGTAATTTAAACAGTATAAAGGCAAAAAAAAGGAGGAGGAGAGGTGGGATAGGGGATTAATGGGAGGGGGGAATGGGAAAAGGAGATGGCATCTGAAATGTAAATAAATAAAATATCAAAAATAATAATAATAAATAAAAGAAAAAAAAAGAACAGCCTCCCTGTCTTAGAGTCCTTCCCTAGTCTGAGTTGGCTAAATCGATATAGATACCAACACAGAGTTCCAGACACCTTAGCTTGCCAGGTGATGAAGGACTTGGGGCCACGCTCCAAGAGTGGAGCCTACACAGGGCTTAGGACATAGTAAGGGCAGAGCGTGCTTGGTTTTGTCATGTCCCATTGTCATCCCAGCCCCAGGGTCCCCCAAGCCCAGTCTGCCCCCCTTTAGGAGCCCACCTTGCTCAGCAGGAGCACGTCAATGAAGTCCAAAGTCTTGGCCTTGGCCTTGGCCTTGAGGACATCATCACCACCCTGATCAGGGAGGGTGCGGCGACGCTCCCAGATGACAGCATCAGCGAAGTCATGCACTAGGCGGCAGGCCTTCCGGAAGCGCATCCCATCACGGGTGAGGTGATAAAACAGGTCCACATGCATAAGCAGCTTCTGGTGCCTTCTGGCCACTAAGGCACTAAGCTCTAAGATGGCAGCGATGTATTCACTAGGTTTCCTGGAGGGTGTGAGCAGAGCAGAAGTGATACTTGAACATACGTTGTGAGCTACCATACGGGTGCTGGGAACTGAACCTGGGTCCTGCAGAAGACCAGCAAATGCTCTTAACCACTGAGTAGTCTCTCCATCACCCACAATTTATTACTTTCTTTGTTCTGTTACTATAAGAACTTCATCAAATTGTTTTATGCTGAAACATGGAGTTTGGGGAAACCTGAACCTGTTTCCAGGCCATGATCATTTTCCCTCATTGGTCTCACAGAGGTGAACTTTGCTGGGCTCACACTTTTGTCTGTCCTGAGTGCCCACCTTTGGGGAAGAGGCATTTGGTTGAATCTCCCTGGGGAAAAGCCAGCTCATCAGCCACAGGGAAGTGCTCTCTGGTCTCCAGTTGCTCATTGCATTTCTGTGAGCTGCCTCCTCCACAGCTCAGGATACAGTGTGGACACAAGGTTCCTCCCCTTCCTGCTCCACACAGCATCCAGACAGTCCCACCTCCTTCCTCAAACTCTGTGCCCATATTGCCCAATTATCTTCCAACAGTCCTGGGGCTCAGTTCTGTTCTCAGTGTCCTCACATTCAGTGGGAACTCATTTGTGCCTTTAGAACAAAGCTCAGCTCAGACCCTGCCCATCTCCTGTTCCCAGAGCTCTGTTCTGTGTGTGGTAGTCAGCCTTGAGAGCCTTGTGGGAGGAAGTTAGGTCATTGAAGAGGACATTGGGATTCTGGCTGTTTCTTATCTCTCTTTTTAAAAATCTTTTTCTTGGCATCTGTTGTACACAATGACGGGTTTCATCACCACCCGTTCACTCACTGCTGTGTATTATCTATTTTAACCGTCTCCACCCCATACGCTCTCTTTTCCCCCTCACACTCCGGCTAATTGAGTTCTTCCCAACTCCTCTTCTTTCCATTTCCATGTCTATGACTACTAATTATTATTACTGGAGACTCAATGAGTTTAATGAGGGTTTATTTACAGGAAATATAGACACCTTACCAGTGGCTACACCACTGAAGAAAATGTTTCTGTCTCCAGCAACTATTAACTGCCTTGTCATAGAGCAATTTCCTCTGAACTGAAGTGGTCTATCCCGGAGCAAGATTCATTAAGACTCAGGAAGTAAACAACTCTCAAGTCTCAGGAAATCCCTGAAACTCAACAGAATTACAAAGTCCCTCCTTCCCCAGAGTTGTATAAGTTGTAAGGACTGCTGGGGAGAGGAGATGCTCTGACCTGTAGAGCTACAGTTCTGGAGTTTCAGCTTTGTGAGCTGTCACCCATGCTGGGGTGGGTTTTTGTGATACAGCTGTCATTTCTGCTCCTTAGAAATGGGTGAAACCCAATAAAACTGATTAGTTTGCTGAGTTGGGCCTCGGCAGTGTCCATACTTTCTTTGGTCTATCACAGATTCCTTACCTGGGTTTTCTTTACATATCCCCAGGAATAATGTCACACAGCATGCCTACAGAGTCCCAGGTACTATAGTCCCAGGTGGGAACTAATGAGCTCCTCCCCCATATCTCTACTTTCAAGCCCCTTCTTTTCCATGCTTCAACTTTGAGGTGCTGCCTCATCACAGGAGACAGATGATTGACTGAACCCTATGAGACCCTGGGCTCCAACAAACCTTTCTTCTCTTGATGTTGACTGTCTCAGATATGTTGTTACGGTAAGAGAAATCTGACTATTATAAACCCAAACAAACATACCTTCAGTGTTTTTCTTTAAATCTCGTAATGAAGTTCATATCCCTTGGCCTAGCTTTCCAGGGTCCTTAATATTGAGCCACCATCCCCTGTCTCCTCCATACCCTCATCTGCAAGGCATAGTACTTCACTGTTTAATGCAGATAGCATCTCCATGCTGTCATATGAACAACTGCATCACTTCCCTCCAGGGTCCTTTAATGCTAGTTCTGAGCCTCCTCCTCCAGGAAAACTCTTCTCCTTTCTCTGTCCTCCTCCTGTGTCTATGGGCCAGGTTCCCAGGCTAGGACAGGTACTTACTCCTGGCAATTGCTGTCAAAGCTGAAAACACACTTCTGCAGACTGTCCAGGGTCATCAGGCTGATATGTTCAAACATGTCCAAACGGGCACTGCCCTTGGAGGTCAGGCGCTGCCACTTGGCCTGGCCAAAGAAGGGGACAGGAACAAGTCTTGGTCTTGGTACTCGGAGCCTCTTCCCAACCCCAGTCACCAGAAAGAAGCCCTGAAACAGCCTCTGATTTGATGTGTGCCAAACCAACAAAGAACCAGTGTTCCACCATCCTTAGATTGCTTCTTTAGCTGGGTGGATTTGAACATGCTCCCTGATATGTCAAACCTTTAGATTCACTCTTGTTGGGCAGAAACACCCTCTACTTCACAAGCATGTGATAGCAAGCAGACTGTGGCTATTACAGAATCAGCATATGAGACCATGCTTAACACACAAGATGTTCAGTCAGTGTTATCATCCCTGTTACAAATTTATTTCAAAAATATCTCTAGTTACTGGTGAGACAGCTCAGTCAGGAAAGTATTGACCATCCAATCATGAGGATCTGAGTTCAATTCCTAGAACCCTTGGGGGTTGGTCTGTTGTTTGTTCGTTTATAAGTAGTGTGATGACAAGGATTTATAATCCTAGCCCTAGAGAGGTGGGGACAGGAGGAGGGTCCCTAGGGCTCAACAGCTAGTTAGCCTAGCTTAATTGACAAGCTTCAGGCAATGAGAGACCCAGTGTCAAAAAAGCACAGTGGATGGTGACTGAGGAAGGAGGTCCAAAGTTAACCCCTGGTCTCCACATGTGTGCACACGCACACACACACACACACACACACACACACACACTTGTCAGAGGTGGTTGCTCCTGGTCATGAGAATCCTTTCTAGGAATTCCAATACTTTACTATCCTATTGTTCCTTCCTTAGGTCACTTCTCAGATGTGTTCGCAGAGGACGACTCAGAGAACAGCAGTTACTTCCTTGGAAAAATCCCAGGCTTCCTTGAGTTTCCTATCACAGAAGATCCCAGCCTGGCATGATCACTCATGCCTTTAATCCCAGCATGCAAGATGAAGAGACAGGATCCCCAACGCAAGGTGGCTAGGGAGACTAACTGCATCAGTGAACTCAGGGTTTGATTGAGAAACCCTGCCTCAGTGAGTAAGGCTGAGAGAGATGAGAGAGAGAGATGGAAGATTCCCAACATCAAACTTGGGCCTCCCCTCACATACTTGTGAACATATATACACACATGCACATATTCCACTCATACATGAAAAGAGAAGGAAAAGATGTAAGCCCTTAGTGACTTCTGTCTTCTCTCATTCTAGTGGAACCCTGTGTCATGGGAACACCCCCAGATGCCTTCTGGAGGGAAAGAACTGTAGGGACAAAATGCCAAGAATCCCTTCTGGAGCCACTCCAAAACCTTGTAAAGAATTTTTTATTTATGTGTGAATATCTGTGTCTGTGTATGTGCACATGGATGCAGTGCTTATGGGGGCCAGAAGAGGGCATCAGATAGATATCTTAGAGCTGAGGTTACAGGAGGTTGTAAGCCACCTGATATGATAAGAAGCCAACTCAGGTCCTGAGGCTACTCTGTCTAAATCAGCCTGGAGTTGAATAAGTCCTCAATATGAAAGATCTGATCCAGAATCAACGGGCATTCCTCCTGACCCTCTGACAGCCATATGCCATGATTAACATGAAAACCAACCCCCGGCCTACATCACTGTCAGCATCCTCAGCCTTTATTGCTTCCAACCAAGGAGTTTAGAATGATTTGCTCCTCATCTGTATTTTCTTTCTTTCTTTCTTTTCTTTTTTTCTTTTTTTGTTTGTTTGTTTGTTTGTTTGTTTGTTTGTTTTTCGAGACAGGGTTTCTCTGTATAGCCTTGGCTGTCCTGAAACTCACTCTGTAGACCAGGCTGGCCTTGAACTCAGAAATCCACCTGCCTCTGCCTCCCAAGTGCTGGGATTAAAGGCGTGCACCACAACTGCCCGGCTTCACCTGTATTTTCTATAAGGCTTCACCATGACTGTTCAGTTTTCAGAGTGACCAAGTGGGAAACTAACTCTTTCTAAGTGCCTACTGTGTTTGGGGACCTGAGTCCTTGATATCATTGCAGGCACAAAGGAGAGATTTTAACCTCATTTTGCAGTTGTGGAAACTGAGGGTTGGAGAGAATTGGCAATGACTCACACAAATGTTCTGTGGTGATTAATGTTGATTACCAACCTCACAGGATACGGAATTACCTAGGAGACAAGCTTCCAGGTATACTTGTGAGGGATTCTCTGTACTAAGTTACCCTCTGGGCATGCCTGTGAAGAGTTATCTAAATGTGATGGCTAGGTTTTTTGTTTTTGTTTTTTAAGTAGATATCACTGTCTATTTTATTGACTTCCACTTGATTTTCACTTAAAAATGAAAAATAGGCACACATACAAAAGGCAACTCCCATACACACTTCAGAAACTACAACCACCAGCTTGGAGTTAAGTACTCACTCTCAAATCATCTGAATTTAGAAATCTTAATGGCTACACAAATTCTTACATTGGTTAAAGTGATGGCTAGTTGTGACTATGAACTTGTCCCAAGTTAGAATCACCTGGGAAAAGAGTCTCTCCAGGCGTTTTCTAGATCAGGGTGGCCTGTGGGTATGAAGATGTGGACTTGTCTTAACTGTTAATTGATGCAGGAAAGTCCACCCTACTGTGAGTAGCGCCATCCCCGAGGTAGAGTGGGCACAGATCCATGTGTTTGCTCACTCAGCTCCTGACACATTCTTGTCAGGGAATTGTATCACAGCAACAGACATGAAAGCAGGACTAAACTTAGTTGGGTTAACAAATTGCAATGATCCATCCTAAAAGGATGCCTCATCCCTGGGCTGGGATCCTGAGTTGAAGGAACAGAAAGTGAGCCAAGCACCAGCATCTGTCCCTCTTTGCTTCCTGAGGCAGCAGGAGCAGCTGTCTCCCACTTCTGCCTCTATGACTCCCCAAACAGATGTACTGTGACCTTAAACTCCGAGGAACTAAACCCTTCCTCCCTGAAGTTGCTTCTCTCGGTATTTATCATAGTCTCCATCTGAGCATGGGCTGGAGACCAGATCTGTTACAGCCCCTTCAACCCCCGGACTCCAACTGGAGACTTGGGTCCCAGGGACTCACATGCATGATGTTGGTGCTGTCATTAAAAATCTTCACATAGGGCTTCAGGATGTTGAAATGGAAGGCAGGTGTCAGCATGCGACGGTGGCGGCTCCACTTGTCACCAGTACTCAGCAAGAGGCCATCCCCTGATGGAACAGCATGGCAGTGTACAAGGACAGTGTCTTCCCAGCACCCCAAGGGCATTCCCAGTCCCTCACCTATAGGTACTCACCCAGCCATGGCTTCAGGAAACGGTAGAAGACTGCGTCCTTGGGGGCAACTGAAGCTGATGTGAACAAAGACCATCAGGAACCATGGCAGGAGGGAGAGCATGGGAGAGATGGGGCCCTCAGCCTGGTATCTGCACACTCCCCTCCCTCCAAGTCCACATGGTAGGTTTGGGGACAGCAACAGAGGAAGACAAGAAGGGTCAGACAGCACTAGATAGAGATGGCTCAGCCTAACATGACATACACTGCTGCATACCTTCACATGGCTACTACATGGTCTAACCTGTTTGCTCTGCACAGCATCCCACTCTGAAGACCTTTACAGAGACCCACTGTTCCTGTCCACCCCAGCATGTGCTGACATCTCCTGACACAGTCATATGACACGGACATGCATAGGTTAACATGACTGAAACACACATGACTGGACCTAACTGTGACACAGATGGCTAAACACACCTCAGCACACCCAACTGACAGGTCTCAGATGTGATTTGAAAGTTCATTTCTGGGCCAGGCATGGAGAATGCCTTTAATCCCAGTATTCTGGAGAGAAAGGCAGGTGGATTTCTGTTCTCTTTAGGCTAGCCAGAGCTACACTGTGAAGATAAAACATAGTGTTTAGGAAAATATAGTTTTAGAGGGGAAAATGTTCATGTGGGGGACAGCAAGATGGCTCAGTAGGTAAAGGTGCTTGCCACCAAGCCTCGCAACCTGAGTTTGATTCCTGGGACCTACACAGTGGAACTAACTCTTGCATGTTGTCTTCTGGCCTCTACCTTGCTCTATAGTTCACACACATATACATGCTAAATAAAAGTAAAAATATTAAAATTAACTTCCCTGATGTAACCTACATAGATTTTAACACTACTCAGATTTTTCTCAAATAAGGTCTCAGTCATATCTTAGAAAGTCCTTTGTCCCAGAGTTCAGACACTCCAAACAGAGTCTAGACTTAGCCAGGAAAAAAAGACTATTTCTAAAATACCTCAGATAAGAGCCAGTCAGAACCCAGCATGTCCCAGTTGTTTATATGGCACCACAGAAAACCATTGGCATATGAGCCCAGGAGGGAAGCAGGCCCAGCCAGATAATAGCACACACCAGAAAGATGGAGGCCACCCAGAAAACATCACATGGCATACTCCAAACAGGAGCCACAAGACCATGGATGAGTCAGATGAGTCTAGATGAGGCACAGCAGGGATATTTCTACCACAGTCCTTCTGTGGTAGCGTGCACTTGAGGATCAGGGGTGTGCAAGCTGGGACCAACATGGTGTCTACCTGGAGCCAAGATCACAGGCTTGATGAAAGCAGGGTGGAATATGCGGATGACGGGGTGCCACGGCCCCACCCACCAGCAGCACACATCCCTGAAGGTTCGCACCAGGCTCTGGATGTACAGGAGCCCTTCCTCTGAGCTCTGGATCTGTAAAAGAGGACCTTGTGTTTGCCTTTCCAGGCTGGCAGAGAGAACTATAAGGTAGAAAGCTACAGGGAGTTCTAGGAATTCCATTCAGGCCTTCACCCACAGTGCTGAGTCCTGCCTGTCCCCATGCCCCCCAACAACCCCTGCCCCCCCCCCCACACACACACATCTCAGTACTGAGACAGAAGACACAATCTCACTTCAGCTCCTAAACACTGTATTTTATTTCATTTCATCATATTCTCTTATTTTGCTGTGTACGCATGCTTGTGTGTGTGCACATGTGCACATGATCATGTGTGTGCATGCTTGTGTGGGTGCACATGTTCACGTGATCATGTGTGTGCATGCTTGTGTGGGTGCACATGTGCACATGATCATGTGTGTGAGTTTGTGGCCAGAGTCCAACTTCAGGTATCCTCAGAGGTCATTCAATTTGTTTTCTAAATATATTTTTATTACATTTTATTTATTTTGGGGCAGGTGATGTTCCATGGTCTACATTGTGGAGGTCAGAGGACAACTTGCAGGAAGGAATTGGTTCTCTCCTTCCACCATGTGGGTCCCAGGAACTGAATTCAGATCACCAGGCTTGAGGGAACACACCTTTACTTTACTGGTGAGATGAGCCATCTCACCAGCTCCAACTTGGTCTTCCTGGAGTCTTCACTAGCTGAATCAGCAATTAGACTAGACTGGTGACCAGCGAGCTCCTGGGACCCCAGGCACTTCCCCAGCCTGCTGAATATCATATCAACCCGTTCTCCTCCATCCCGTTTTCCATATGGAAACAGTTGCCCATGATGTACCTGGTTTCTCACATAGCAAGTGGCATGTCTGGGGCCTGAGCCTAGGACTGTGGATCCCCAGAGTCATAGATACTTATTGCAGGCTTTGCCTTGTGGAAGTCACTTACAGGACCGCCAGAGGACAGCGAGCTCTCTCATGGAACTGACTCTAAGACTCATTACTGTGGGTATGCCTGAGGGGAATGTTTTGGTTGTTGTTAACTGATGTATAAAGACTCAGACTTTTGGGGCAGCACCATTTCATGCCGATCCCTTGTTCTATGTTTCCTTCCTTCCTTCCTTCCTTCCTTCCTTCCTTCCTTCCTTCCTTCCTTTCTTCCTTTCTTCTTCTCCTTCTCCTTCTCCTTCTCCTTCTTCTTCTTTTTCCTCCTCCTCCTTCTCCTCTTCTTCTTCCTCCTCCTTCTCTTCCTTCTTTTGGTTTCTTTCTTTCTTTTTTTTTTTTTTTTTTTTTTTCGAGACAGGGTTTCTCTGTGTAGCCCTGGCTGTCCTGGAACTCACTCTGTAGACCAGCCTGGCCTCGAACTCAGAAATCCACCTGCCTCTGCCTCCCAAGTGCTGGGATCTTCTTTTGGTTTCTTGAGACAAGATTTCTCTGCGTAGCCCTGGCTGTCCTGGACTACATTTGTAGACCAGGTTGGCTTCAAACTCATAGAGATCTACCTGCATCTTCCTCCCTTGTTTTAGTTTTATTCTGCAACTGTGATTTTAAAAGAGAAAAGAATAGAAAAGAAAAAGAAAAGAAAACCACTATGGTGATTTGAATATGCTTGGCCCAGGGAATGGCACTATTAGGAAGTGTGGCCTTGTTGGAGTGGGTGTGGCCTTGTTGGAGAAAATATGTCAATTTGGGAGTGGGCTTTGAGACCCTCCTCCTAGATGCCTGAAAACAGTCTGCTCCTGACTTCCTTTAGATGAAGATGTAGAACTCTCAGCTCCTCCTGCACAATGCCTACCTGGAAGCTGCCATGCTTCCTGCCTTGATAATAATGGACTGAACCTCTGAACCTGTAAGCCAGCCCCAATTAAATGTCCTTAATAAGAGTTGCCTTGGTCATGGTGTCTGTTCACAGCAGTAAAACCCTAAGACAACCACCCTGATCAAAGGCAACTTTGGGAGAAAAGGGTTTATATGCCTTCTACTTCCAGGTCACAGTCCATCACTGAGGAAAGTCAAGACAGGAACTCAAGTAGAAACCTAGAGAAAGAAGCTGTGAAGGAAAACTGTTCACTGGCTCACTCTGGCTTATTCACTGGCTTGTGTTTATCTACCTTTCTCATGCTGCTCAGGCACTCCTGTCTAGAGACAATATAGCCCTCAGTGGCTGGGGATCTCCTCCATCAGTTAACAATCAAGAGAATGCTCCCACAGACACCAGACATGTCCATCGGCCAGTCTGTAGAGGCAGTAAGATTCTCTCTTCCATACAGTGTCAAGTTGGTAATCAAGATTATTCATGACTCTGTGTGTGTGTGTGTGTGTGTGTGTGTGTGTATGAACGTGTGCCTGTGTGTGCCTGTGTGTGGTGTGTGTGTGTATGTGTGTGTGTGTGTGCCTGTGTGCGCATGCACGTGAGTGCAGTATACAGAGAAGCCAGGAAAAGGGTGTTGGATCCTGGAGCTGAAGTTATCGGTGGTTGTGAGCCACCCATGTGGATGCTAGAAAACAAATGAGGTCCTCTGCAAGAACAGTCAGTGATTTCAACCATCATGATACCTCTTCAGAGCCTTGGCCAAACTACAAATTTTTCTGTATTCTTCTGCCCTGCTATTTTTGTTCCTAGTTCTCAGTGTAAACATATCAAAAAGGGGACATCAATATCATCCAACAGCCTGGAAAACCTGCTACCTTGACATTTCTTATCAAATAAACTAGTTTGCCATTTTTTAAACAGTCTTGAGACTGGAGAGATGGCTCAGTAGTTAGGAGCACTTGCTGCTCTTGCAGAGGATCCAGGTTTGAATCCCAGCACCCCACTCACATGAGGCAGCTTACAAACACCGGCAATTCCAGCTGCAGACGATATGGCACCCTCTTCTGGCCTCTCCCCAGGCACTGCACATGCACACATGCACAGATACAAATAAAATAAATCTCTAACCTCAGCCTCCCACAAAGTTTCAAGCAGGAACAAAATGTCCATAAGCTCTGTGTAGTGTGCTACACAGGAGGTGAGTGTTAGAGTTTCTCTGAGATCATGGAAGCCCATGACAGACCAAAAGTAACCACTGCACCAATGTCTGATTTGGCCAACCAATGAGTTTTCCTGGGGTCACGAACAGGACTGTGGGATGAAGCTTACTTACAAGAGACAGGCATGACTCAAAAGCAGCTGCATAACTAGAAACCCCACCCCACCACGGGTGATGTCCCCATCCTGACATTCCTGAACTAGTGCCACCCTGGATTTCTCTATGAAGCGTGCAGGCAAGTCCACAATCTAAATATCTTTCTTTGCACAGTTTGGCTAGCCATAGTCTCCACCCAGCAAATGTTTACACCTTTTTATACTGTTCTGTTAAGGTCCACAAGAATCTTCCAAGTTTCTACTCCTTCTAATTATGTGATCTTTTGTTTACCTTCTAAGACTCTTGAGCCTCCCTTTCCTTTCAATTTGGAAAGAATGTTGCAATATGCCACAAAACAAGTGTCCTGTACTTCAACAATCAACACAGTGTTTTTTTCCCATCTAAGACTCATGAGCAGACATTACCACATGGATATAGTCATTACCCCATGGACACAGCCATTACTTCATATGCAAAGTCATTTACCTCATGGGCACAGACATTACCACATGAGTACAGCCATTATGTCATGAACACAGTCATTACCTCATCGGCGTAGACATTAATTCACAGACACAATCATTACTTCATGAGCACAGTCATCATCACTTCATGGGTACAGATATTACCTCATGGGCACAGTCATTACCTCATGGGCACAGTCATTACCTCATGGG